GCCTGTTGATAAAGAGAAACAGGATGGTTTCAGATTCAAAATTAGAGCCCAAGTTTGGTTTCACCTCATAACCCGGCCAGTACTGGTGAACGAAAGTATATGCGTCTACCGACAATGTACGAGAATTATCTCGAGTGCGGTCTGCTTCCTGAACTTCCACATGGACACAGTCCCACTTCATTCAAGGCGGGGATGGCGGTGAGACATTGACAGCAACACTGAGGCCTTGGATATGCGATATGGCGGATAAATGATTGGATATTGCGGGTGGCTGGCACAATAACGCGCCATTGTCTTCGGCAGATCACCGTTGCTGTGGGGCAAGAGGCCTAGCTTGGTGCGGAGATGTCGGTTGCAGAACATCGAAGCAGGGAGTTGGCGCGGCCCCCGACTAGCTTGAGTCTTGTGCTACTCCTATGCTGGCAGTTTTGTGCATAGTACCGAATATCCCGCTGCCACCGATATTTCCCCTCACTAGAGCGACGACAAGGTATTCAACCCTCTGCTACGTGTGTCGGACCTTAGCTGCATAGCAATTCTAACACTCTGGATCTAGGAGGGCAGCGCAGACAATGCACCTGTGCTTCTGCATTAGTTCATATGTCTAACCATCAAGCTGCCGCTCATCACCCATAAATACCCTTCATCATCCGCTCCCCGCTCAAAGCTTGATTGTGTGCCTTTCCAAACTGACAGCTGGATCGCCCATAATGCAGCTATTATCCCTATTTTTCAATGCTTTCGCCGCTGGCATACTTTTGCTTCTCGGCACTGGCGGCTATGTTATTTACCAATGCTTTCTGTCTCCTTTGGCCCGGATTCCAGGCCCCTTTTTGGCCAAGCTTACCAACTGGCATCGGGCATACCTCACCTACGAGGGACAAGCCCATCGCAAGTACCTTGCACTTCATCGGAAGTATGGTGCAGTGGTACGCACAGGACCAAACGTGTTGTTAGTTTGCCCTTGCGTGGCGCTGAACTCGTAACTGAGCGTATATCCAGGAGCGTAGCGGACCCAACAGCGTTCAGGGAAATATATAGTAAGTTTCTTAAACATGTTCCAATAATTCAAGGCTCCACTAAATGTCGGTAGAGGCGGGAGGAAAATTCGCCAAATCCGCGTCATATAGCGTCCCAAAAGAGATTCACGCCTTTGACCTCTTCCGCCAACGGAACGAAAAGATACATGGCGAACAGAGGAAGCTCGTTGCACGTGCTTATTCAATGGACTCGATGGTTCATCTCGAGCCCAATGTCAGCTCTCTCCTCACGACCATGGTGCAAAAGCTGGACACCCTGTCCGGGGTTGTTGACCTTGGAGTATTTCTGCAATTGTTCGCATTTGGTACGTACGTTGTGCATCCAACTGTGGGCTTCATTGACGTATGATTATAAAGATGTAATCGGTGCAGTCAGTTTCTCACGCCCGTTTGGCTATGTCACTGCCGGGAACGACGACGGCGTGTTTTCTCGGCTCAAGCAATCGTTGCGGTCAATGTCCTGGCTCATGAACGTACCCTGGTTCTACGATCTTCATCAAGTGCTCAAGCCCTATATTGGGAATTGGTTGGCAGCCAATGATCGAAATGGCTACTTTTACCAATTTGCAGCTCAAGAGATCGTCTCGCGGAAAGACCGGGGTGGTGATGACCGAGATATCGTAAACCAGCTGTTTGCAATTCAGAAGACCAAGCCTCAATTCAGTGATACGGACATGGCATATATGTTGACTGCAAATGTGTTTGCCGGCTCAGATACGACGGCGACATCGCTCAATGCGATATTTTATCTCCTGCTGAAAAATCCGACCGTCTACCAGAGGCTGATGCAAGAGTTGGAAGAGAAGAGAGCCGCCGGAGAGCTTAGTGATCTGGTAACATTCCAGCAAGCAGAATCCTGTCCCTATCTGCAGGCTGTGATGTATGAGGCGCTCCGACTGTATCCTGCTGCTGGACTTCAGCTGAACCGTGATGTCCCAGAGGGGGGTATGAAGGTTGGAAAGTACTATGTTCCAGAGGGCGTAAGTTTCTCCTGCTTCTCATGTTTGAGCGCCTCTTGTAACATAAGTTCAGACGGTGGTCGGGTCATCTGCGTGGGTAATTCACCGCCTCCCCGAGATATGGGGTCCTGACTTTGAGGAATTCCGTCCGGAGAGGTGGCTGGAAGGGGATGTGGGAAATCTCAGTAAGTAATCCGACCGGTATAGAGGCAACTGCTCATACTGTTTCAGAACGATTCTATTTCTCATTTGGCGGTGGTTCCCGCACTTGCGTTGGAAGGAGTGAGTCTTTTGGCCAAATGTTGACTGGTTGTGATGACAATGCTGACACCCTTCTCAGACATAAGTTGGCTAGAGATGTCAAAGGTATAGCCTGCTTCCCTGTATCTTTACTAACGCCGGTATACTAATCTCGACTTAGCTCGTTCCCACCCTTCTTATGCGCTACAACATTCAATTGGCACCAGGTGCTAAAGTGACGGATGAGAGCGGGTAAGTTTCATGGTCAACCGTCGTGGCAGGGTCTACTAACCTGCTGCAGAGGCTTAATCTTTATCAAAGGACTTAATGTTCTCTTAAGTCCGCGACAGAGAGCAGTGGCGTGAGACGGCACCTAGTTCAAGATCGCTTCAATGACCGGAGAAGATGCGTCCATAGACTGGGCACGGTACATGACAAACTCAGACAACGTATGACTAGCCGAAAATGAACTCTCAGCAATAGCAATAGCACAGACTCACATTCCTACTTGTCCCTTTACTCCACTTCTTCAGAAACAGAAGGATTAAAAGGATCAGCTTCATTAATAATATTATACTCGCTATACCCCATTTGACCAATCAACCGACATGTCTCAACCCCGACGGAGAGTCCAAACCGCGAAGACCCGAACCCCGACGGCATCTCATCTGCACGGACATAACCAAATTACCACCGAGCCCTAAGCATGCATAGTAGATAGTATACCCCCAAACAACCACTTGCAATTAGAACCGGTATAAAACCAACCCTTCATCCTTCCAACAATCAATCCCTCACCCTCACACATTTCACAAACAACAGCCACACCATCAACAACCTTCAACCCCCAAACCAAACCCCAAAATGACCACCACCACCACCAGAACCCTCTTCCTCACCGGCGGCAGCGGCTACATCGGCAGCGCCCTCATCCCTCTCGCCCTCTCACGCAACTACACCATCCGCGCCCTCTCGCGCACCCCTCAATCGGACACCAAACTCCTCTCTCTCGGCGCCACCCCAATCCGAGGCGACCTAACCAGCCTATCGACCCTCCGAACCGAAAGCGCCTCCGCCACCGCCGTAATCCACCTCGCGACGGCCTTCGTCTTCGGACAAACCCCCAGTTACGCCTCCATCAAAGACATCGATACCGCCGCCCTGGACGCCATCGTCTCCGGCCTCTCCACCACCCCGAACCCAGACGGCACCCCCAAACCCCTCGTCACAACCAGCGGTACGCTCCTCGTGCGCCCTAACACCGACGGATCCGAAACCGACGAGTTCTCACCCCTCGACACGCACCCTCTCGTCTCACGGAACGAGATCACCGCGCATGGGCTCGCCCTTGGCGAGAAGTCCAATGGAAGGGTAAGAGTGATGGATATCCGCCTCGCGCCGTTCGTGTACGGACGTGGCGGTAGCGGTGTCAGACTGTTCATGCAGATGGCAAAGCATGCGGGGAAGATCGTTACTGTGGGTGGGGGAGTGAATCGTACTACGACGGTGCATGTGGATGATGCGGCGGAGTTGTATTTGCTTGCTCTTGAGAAGGGCGTGCAGGGGGGTGTGTATAATGCTGGTGATAAGACTGGTGTTACGGTTGGGGAGATTTTGGGGGCGGTGGCGAAGATTATGCATGTTCCGGTGGAGGATCTGGGGGTGGAGGAGGCGAAGGAGAAATTGGGAGATGTGGTTGCTGGATTTTTGGCTGCCGAGAATAGGGCTTCGGGGGGAAGGGCGAGGAAGGAGTTGGGGTGGGTGTGTAGGGGGGAGGGGGTGCTGGAGGAGATAAAGGGGGAGAGGGGGTCGTATAGGGAGGTTGTGGGGGAGTTGTAGATGGTATATTTGTTTTGTTCGTGGAGTTATGGTGCTTGTGTTCTGATGTAGTAGTGGTTGAGTGTTGAGTTGCGGAGGTGATGTGTATTGTTTGGTCTTGATATTGAATATTCAGTATGTTAATTTGTTGATGTTAGTGGCGTTGATTCTGTCCTGTATCTATTTATATAAGTGCACGTAAGCAGCGAGTTCTCATCTCAAATTATACAGATGTGAATTTAGGGGTAGTTGATAATTCTCCGATCAAGTTGTATAACTCCAGCTAGCTAAGCTTTGCGGGGAAACGGGCCGGTCCGGACATGTCATCCATTATTGCACAACCGCAGTACCTAGGTACGTGGCAGCTGTGATAATTACATGACACAATCATTCAAAATCCCGATAGGAATTAGGATGACTGCGAATTTAAATATTAGAGGATATCCGCACAATATTAGATGGGTGGGCATGTATGGTCAATACATGGTTTTGTTGATAACAGGTCTGATATGGTATGGGTCAAGCTGTATAGCATAGAATTTGCCACACCAATCCTATAATGAAGGGATGTATGTGTCTACCGGGGGTTGTAGCTCAGTGGTAGAGCGCTCGCTTCGCATCCTCAAATGGGAAATGCGAGAGGTCAAGGGTTCGATCCCCTTCAACTCCATCTCTTCTTTTTGTTTTTGCTGTTTGTCTGTCTCTCTCTCTATTAATGCAATGATAAAGAAAGGGGTGGATTGTTTCTGGTCGAAGTCGCGCGTGTCTTAGTTGAACTGTGTGTATTTTGATTGGCTAAGCTGTCTTTGTTGTATCAACGGGACAGCAGGTCTCATCTTTCTCTGGACATCTGTCGCTCACTTTCTTCCAAGGATTAGAGCTTGGAACTGCCGATAACCCATTTTAACAATCTCGCCCGTCGTCTATCGAGTATGCTACTCCATCACTTGCACAAGGTACCCTTCAACCATGCCAGCAACGCTCTATACTGATCCGGCGAAGCCACTCCTGGGTTGAATGGTGAAAGGGCCTCGCAATGGAATTCACGATGGGCAATACTAATGGTGACTCTCGTATGTTCTGCCTAAATTGAACAAAGTCATATTAGTGTATGTCGCACGGGAAAATTTTAGAATTACTGACCTTGATCTTCCTAGCAGTCTTTATAATCGAATCATACAACACTTCATATCCTCCCACCCCGATGAAAATCTCCTCCACAGGCAAATCCCGCCACCAGCCTTCAGGCGCACCCGCAGGCCGGTTATAGCTATCGAATTCAGCATCTCCAAGAAACATATCTGCCCAGTAAGTCAATAGCCCTGGTGAGACAAGATCCCGCGACGCGTTTCTCCGGCAACTGTCATAGTCGGTCCGAGACTCGCCCATCCACGGTGAAAGCAACAATGCCCCGGCAAGTTCCTCACGCAAGAGTAGAAGAGGAATGTGAGGATGGGGATGCGCAAGATGAGATAGGACAGACAAGATGAGATGTGCGCCCGCAGAATCACCCAGCAGCACAATGTCGGACGGCCGCTTTCCCAGATCCTCGATGACATATTGGAGGAGCGCGACGGCCTGCTTCATCTGATGAGGATATTGCGCGGTTGGGGTGAGCTCATAAGGGAGGAAGAGCATGCCGGCATCTATCCCCGCTTGTCCCAGATGCTTGAGGATAGAGGTTGAATAGTCGATGTGGGAGGGCGAGGCAGGGAAGCAGTATGCGCCGCCTGGCAAATGGAGGAGCAGTCGCTCGGCGTCTGGATTGCCTAGCCAGAACGCGGTGGTCCCGTCAGGCAGCTTGACGGTGTTTAAGGTCGTGTGTGTGCGACGTGCCCATGCTTCGAGAAGCCGAGCGGAGGTACCAGGGGAATAAGCATACCTGGGAATCTCATTATTATGAGGTGTGTCTCGGTGTGGAATTATTGCAACCTACCGGAACTGGTCTATTGTGACAGTTTCGAAGAATGTCCGCACGGCCATGGCGACTATGTGCTTCGTGGCTGTTGCACCACTGTGAGGGCCTCTCACGGGCACTTTCAATGCTGTGCATAATGCTGTGATTACTGCCATGTAAGCTGGTAAGTATGGGTACTATGAAGCAAGAACACGTAATGAATACAAGCCTTGCTAATGGCCCAGAGCAGACCTACTATGGCTAATAGCTCCATGCTTGATACGATTAAGCACCATTTTCTGGTTGTATTCTGCAGAAGATACGACCACAAGCATCATATATAACCATATTCCGGTGGCTGCTGCATAAGCTTTGACCCGCCGATCCCTACATCATCTGCAGAGACAGCATTGGTCTACCAATATAGCTTGACTAGATGAAAGCTTATCTGGTTCCAAAGTGGGAAAGAGGTATGTGGTGAAATGTATCACAAAAGCAAGAAACTGAAAATGCATCGCCGGCTTACTTCTTCGCCTCCTAAATTGGGGAGTGATACACAGCAGTCCTGTTCATTGGCTATTACTTACGGATCCATTGTGCTTCTCTGGCTGTAACATTTAGTCAAAGATCAATTATGTCTACTGCCACGAGTGACGCGGTTAGATGTGCTAATTATCAATAGAGATAACTAATTATTTTTCAGATGACGCTACTCGCTGCATAGCAATTGAAGATGTACCATAAGGTGGCCCTAGGTCTCCAAAAGACCTCAGTACCTCACCTGCCGCAACACCGTTTGTACCCTCTCATCAAGAACCTCTTTGTTTTAGACCCCGCCAATCAGCATAAAAGCAGAGTCCTTGCCACAAGGTCTATAGTACTCATGTACATGGCCATTGATCGTTGTGTGGCGAAGCCAAGACATGGCAGCATAACGTCTTTCGAGAGCGAAGCGACCCCGTGGCAATGATTCTTTTGCGCGTATGCACAAAATCATGCAAACCCGGGTTCTTTGGCTTCTATGGCCAGGAATCCACCCGTTTTCCAACAAGTTGGCCGGATGGTGTAGTTGGTTATCACGTATCGTTAACACCGATAAGGTCCTGGGATCGAGCCCCAGTCTGGTCATTACTTTTTGTTTTTGTTTTTGCCACCCATACCTTGACTAGAATCGAGCTTCAGCTATATACTACTACTGCTGTCTTTTTTTTTTGTCCGTACAAGTCTCAAATGCTGCCAAGTTGCTGCATGTTAGGCTTGGCATGCATATAACCACCTGGGATTATCCCCACACATGGTCAGTCGATCGCGCGGACTTGTATAGCGAACTACGCACTCGGCCACAAAAGCTGCAGGGATAAGGATTGAGTACACAGCACCACCGGCTAACTCGTTTATTTTTGATGGCATATATAATGAGGACTGGATCAAGGTTGGGCGATACTAAGCAACATACCCATTCCTGTTGGGATTTCGTCGGAATGTTCCCGGAATGGGGTATAGACGAACATGGCATTGAGACGAAAGGGTGCTGTCGAAGATCCCACCAGGTTCACAGATATGTAGAAACAGGAAATTGACAAAGAGAGTCATACACAGTGCTTTCGGGAGCATGCAAAACGTTGATTAGCATCAGTGCAGAAAGCAATGCTCGGCAAAAAGTATGACCAGACTGGGGCTCGATCCCAGGACCTTATCGGTGTTAACGATACGTGATAACCAACTACACCATCCGGCCAACTTGTTGAATAACCTTCGATATTTTACATTACCAGCGAGAGTTAAGTCAGAGCGTGGAAAAAGAATTTTTGTGTGTGCCGTTAACATGAGGACTTGGATATGAGAGGATCGATCCTTCAGGATAGGTCGGAGGCTTTTCATTTCATGACTATGTCATGCTCTTGTTTACTTGGTTTCAGGTATGGCCTACAAGATACTGTCAGTAATCGCGTTAGATCGGGTTGGATTATTTCTATTACAGTCCGTTCGTGCCTTTGATGTGTTGCTGGGTGGTTATGTGGACTTCTGATGACTAGAATATATACCTAGTCCGGTTCATCCTCGGATGTGAGTTATCGATGAAATCATGATAACACCACTTGCACTACCAATCATGTAGTCAAATAGATAGATATAGTCTAAAGGAAAATCTTAGGATCAATTAAGAAATTGTCTATCAACCACATTAAAAGATCTGGAGTAGGGAGAGATATGAATAGTAAACATCATGCTCTATAACCCCCACTAAATTATTTACAATACTCTTAATATATCCAGATACGTCTTACCTGACATGGTCAGTTACAAACACCATAGGCATCTGGTCTATCATCTTACCATCTAGTCTTCTACTATTATGCATGCCTCTTCAGTATCAACTACCAAGTGTGGACGTGGTTTTCAGAACCTACGCGTAAGACTGCCGCGTTCCCTCATAGCCAAGTTCGCGGCAGTCCCGTAAAGAAACATGCTATACCATTCCTTCCAAAGCAGTATCTAGTACATACGACCACAGGGTGTGGAAAACAGGGCTTCCCGTCCGCTCAGCCGTACTTAAGCCACACGCCGGGAGGTTAGTAGTTGGCTGGGTGACCACCAGCGAATCCCTTCTGTTGTATGTTTTTTTTTCATTTTAAAATTTTGCCTTGCTTTTGTAATGTGATTGACCGCTGGATTGCAAGTGTGTCGTTGATATTAACCCTGTAGGCTGAAGAGTGTAGCTGCTACGCTCAGGGGCGGGCTGCTTGCCACTACCCTGGGCAGGCTACTCTTAGGATATTGTAACTGCTAAGACCACATGATCTTCTCAATGTCCTGGTGGTCCACAGCGAGTATGAGAGGTTGGAAAGTTCGTTCATCATAATGCTCCAAACAATGAAGGCACCGCGTTACAATTCTACTCTCAAAAGTTTGATAATGTCACACAAAATGGAATAAAGGAGACTAGCTATCAATATATTATGATAGTGCCTTTAAGAAGCATGAGGGCGAAAAGCTCTAGACAAGAATAAAATGTATAACCAATTCCAGGATCGAAGCGGGAGCCTTCTGTGCCGAAGCATGAGCATGTCCAAGTCGTCCGCTAGTCGGATGAGATATGTCCCATCTGCAACACTCGTTAGAGAAGCATCTGAAAACAAAGCCGTGGGAAGAGAATGAAGAATGACTAAATTCATTCGCCAACTGGGGGAGCCCTGAATTTTCCACTTACATGGTTCTGGAGCAACTCCATGATTTCTGTGTTATTCCTCAAATCCGCGTACCACATGGCGTCTCTTCCTTCTTCGTCGACCCTATTAGGGTCAGCATTCCCCGACTGCAGAAGCATGGAGGCAATTTCTGTATCTCCCTCGAGCGCCGCTATCATGAGAGGGGCTGCAGCCTTCATTGTCGGGTATATTTGCATCTGCGAAGGCATCGAGTAACACTTGAACAGCATTTGGCCAACCACGGTTAGTGGCTTTGAATAATGCTGTTGTTCCATGTTGATTCCTCCGGTTCACATTAACCATTTCGGTGGCCAGAAGCCTATGGAGTATGTGTACATATCCGTTCCCGGCTGCTATCATCAGCGGTGTCCACCCCTGAAAGTCTGGAATGTCTGCATCTGCAGATTCAAGAAGTAATATATTTGCGGTATCATATTTATCGCTTTCTGCAGCTCGATGCAAGGCTGTTCTTCCGAATTTGTCGATATCTTTGATATTAACTTTGCCCGATTCGATCAGTTGCTGCAGGATATCGCCACGCCCCAATTGCGCAGCCCATGTCAACGGAGTTTCTCCATTCTTATCTGGGATATCTGCAGCGGTCGCGGGGAGCTCCAACAAGGCTTGCACAATTTCTGCCTCTTTGAATAACACGCTGTGAGCTAAAGCGGTTTTTCCACTGCTGTCTTGAATGTTCACGTCACAAGATCCAGAGTTTATCAAGTTCCTGACCAATGCTGTTCTTCCCAGCTCACAAGCTATCATCAAAGGCGTCTTACCCCTTACGTTTGTGGCATTGAAGACCTCGCTTTTCCCACAATCAACAAATGCCATAATCAGTTCGTCACTCCCATGCCATATGGCATTCTCGAAAGGTGTTATACCCCGTAGATCCCATGCGCCGGCATCTGTTCCCGACTCTAGCAGCACTTTGATGGCAGCAGGGTTACGGGATATAAATGCTGCTTGTAAAGGACACGTGCGTCGTGAGTCTCGCACATCCCGTTTGATACGCTTTGACTTCAAGAGTACAGTCAAAACACGATCGTTGCCCCAAAATGCTGCTATCAAAACTGTGTTTTGGCCTTGTGGATTCCGCGTGTCACAATGATTTCCCTCTTCCAGAATATGCCCAGCCAGCGATGTCATCCCGGTATAAGACGCTATCCATAGGACATTCACGTCACGAAAATGGACTTGGAAGTCCGCGATGTAGTGTTTGTGTGCCTCCAACCACATCTTGCAATGTTTGTTTTTTGGATCAGAGAACCTCCGGATCCTTTTCATGAGAGCCATGTCGCCGTCTAGTCTAGCTTCTTGAATATGATATACCAGTTGCTCGTACTATAGACTAAGAATCCACTGCTTTCCTCCGCTGAGTCGCCGATGGAGGAATCAGTTTTCTTGCAGTGTCCGGATCGACGTGAAGTCGCTGCAACCGTGATTTCAATGAAACTCACACAGCTCCATGCCAGAACTTGATGTCATTCTCCTGTGCTTATTGGCCCGCCATCAGTTCCATCATCGCTAGAATGCAGTTCTTTAGCGAGGAAGTCCCTTGTAGTTGGATGGAGTAAATAGACCCGGTTGTCTCTGATAGTCACCAGTAAACCACACAAATTACGCAATGCCAGCTCGAGATTTCGATACGGTTCTGGTGGTACCCGAGATGCGCTATTGAGCTGCATCGCAATGTGGAATTCTTGTAACGTGAGCGCTCTGCTTGCCGCTAGAATGACACAAAAGGCTTTCCTGGCGCGAGTCTTGTTCCTAGAAGTACCGATCATCTTCTCGTACACTTCAAAGACGCTTTTATCATGTAACTAAATTTGAGAAACGCCTTCTTTAGGATCAGGGTGTCCACAGAATGGAGATATGTCACAGCGTACGAATGCGATGGAACATGTTAGCAATTCAAATGCATGCTGTTCAGACTAAAGACCACCCTAGCTGTGTTCTAGTGTTACACGGATCACACCCTCTCCACGTTCTTATATTACGCATTCTGGCATATTGGTAATGTTCTGATTTACACAGATTCGCGCGCCGAATTACAACCACGTACAAGGCAGTTAAAGAGCGGCTCATCGCTACGGGCAATGAAGTCAAACGAGGACATATCAGAGTATGAGATGCACTCACTAATTCAGGCATAGCTGCCCAACCTAAAGCACGTGAAAGGAGAAAACAACCTGGATGACTTTTTCAGTCGATGGGCACTAGGCGATTAACAAACCGTGACCCTGTATTCTCGTAGACCGAAAACCTATCAAACACGAGCGAGCTTGCAAAAAGCATCAAAGGTCGATAACCAGCAATTTATCTAGCTCGAACTCCACCTCCCGTCCTTGGGCCTCCAGCTCTAGATATCCCGGCGCACTCTCGTTGATAAGGCGGATCCAGAGGTCCCGAGATCCGTAGCCCGAGCAGAGGAACTTGTTATTCAACCGGGTTGACTCCAAGATGTCAAGAATAGGAAGATCCATATCCAAGCTATTATTTTAGAAGGAATGACATTAGAGGAATAGATATCTGAGCCACAAAAAAAATAAAAGAGAAAGAGAGAGAGAGAGAGAGGATATGGACGTACACTTCGTTATACTGCGGCGGGCCTCCAATGCATGACTCAACGATCTCGCCAAGATATCTACCCAGAATTTGCTCGAAGGGCCATGGTTTGGCCCATATTCCAGGGTCGACGAAGGGTCGAGACGCGGACGTGGCCATTTGAGCTAAAGTCCACCAGGGCCAGTCGCCCTGTGGCAAGTCCTGGCGCATCGATCACGAACCACGTGAGGTTCGGCCCGTTGTCAAACACCACCGTGCCCTGGCGGGTCATGGAGAGGGCATGGAAATCCGCTGGGGTGAGATACAGCGAGGGAAGAATCTCGTCGTAGGTGGTGATTGGCCTGGTGGTGGGCCCACAGCCAAGGAGGTCCGGAAGGTGGTAGTTAGGAGCGGTGCCTGCTCCATGCTCTTCGAAGGGGTGCACCCCATTCCATTCGTCTTGGTGGATATACAACAAAATCAGGAACTTCACGAGGTGGATATAGTTACGCGGATGGGTCTGCCGGTCCACGGAGGGAAGGCACAAGAAGCGTTTGTTGGGTCGTGGGGCGATCTGCGAAAGAACCGAGGCGGGATAGTCGAAAGCCGAGCTGTATCCTGCGGAACAACTATGGTAGGCCTGTAAAGATTATAGTCAATCAATCATACAGCCACCAGAGATAAGAGGAAGAGTGTATAGACCTCGCGGAACTCTTGACTGGCGGTGGCCCATTGCTCTATTAGCGCTCGCCGTTGACGCAGCCCATCTTCAGGAGTCGATGTGGGCTGAATCTTTTCCTGTGATCTGCACCGTCAACCACGAAATACCATCAAACAACCAAAGTGTGCATTTCCACAAACTCTTCCTTACCCGTACAAATAGCAACCATCCCTTGGCCTCTTCCCTGAGCTCTTCCTGGGATAAGTCCGTCGTATGCTGGCGGATCTCCGGAATGCCTGCCGGCCAAGACGCTTCTGATGTGGGCGGTGACATTTTGACTTTGAGCTCTGGTTATGAAGATTATTTGAGTTCCAGCTCCTCGAGCGAGAAGGGAAGAGAAAAAGGACAGAAAATATAACGCCAGTCCACTGGATTAAAAATAGTCAGGTTACGAAATATTACAAGACCCTTAAGGCCGTTATTCTAGGAACTAGGGATTTTATTGGCCGCGTTTAAGCCACACGCCGGGAGAATAATAGTTGGATGGGTGACCACCAGCGAATCCCTTCTATTGTATATTTTTGCATACTATTTTTTTCCCTTTGCTCACTTGCCCATGATTCATTTTGTTTGTCCCTTTTGAACAAATTGCCTGAAGTTGTCCTTGGCGCTTCTTATTCTTGCCCATTAGCTAGCAGTATCCGGCCGCCATCAATGCAAAGAGAGACACCATCCACGTACGACTGCAACATCTTCATTAGCATTTGAAACAAAGAATGAAAACGACGACTTACTCCAGCCCTGCTGACCAGATACAACACCGCCCCTGCAAGATCTTCAGCCCTCCCAGCTCGTTTGGCTGGGACCTTGTCAAATAAACCACTGAACATATTTCCCGCTGCACCAACGGGGTTCATGTTAGAGGGAACAACTATTTCAACATCAGCACAAACTCAAGATTAATAGTCGCACCAGAGAGGCAGAAGGCAGGAATGGAAAGAAGACAGCAACACTCACAGCCAGGATTTATCCCCACTACCCGCACATAAAACCGATGAAACTTCGCAGCCAACAACTTCACCAAATGATCAGTCGCTGCTTTGCTCGCTGCGTAGCTCGTCAGGTCCACATTCGTCGCATTATGCATACTCGCACAAGAGCTGGTGATGACTACCACGCCTCTCCCATCGTCCTGACCTCGACGACCATCATCTAGTTGCTGATCAGCCGCGGCAGCCAGGAGAGGAAGAAACGCAACACTAAGGAAGTAATGTGCTGTCGTATTGACCTGAAAGGTATCGGCCCAGTCTGATTCTCTGCTCGACCACATTGACTCCTGCAGCTCGGCCAGGGTCGCCGTGAGTACGTTGCATGCGATGGGCGGATCCCGTCGAATCCCGGCATTGGATATGAGCATGTCGAGTTTGGTTTCTTTCTCGGAAATTGATTTGGCAAGTTGAGAGATAGACTCCTTTGAGGAGAGGTCGCATGCGTAGCTTGTAACGAGTTAAGTATTGAACTGGACTATTGACAAGGAGATTTGGGAAGATGTTGTCGACACGTACCCTTCTGCGCTTCCACCTGATTCAGTTCCACATGCGTTCAAGTCCTGTACTGTTTGGTCGATGGGGTCACCTGGAAGTGCGACTATGTAGACTTTGGCGCCGTTGGTGACAAGGCCCTGGTATGGCGGCTACTATGAGTATTTGCTACCTTGGGTCTAAGGACAGATTTACCTGGGAAATCATTCGTCCTATTCCGCTACTTCCACCGGTGACTAGGGCGATGCGGCCCTTGACGCTCATTATGTCTTGTGTCAATAGTAATTCCATTTCGGGTGTGAGTGATGTGCTTTGGAGAGATGCGACAAAGATGTGGAAGGGCCATGTCGAGTGGGAGGGGACGCTCCCCGCTTTATGTGTCTTGTCTGCTTGTCGGATCGACCGACGCTCCAGTACCAGAACCAGATCTTATGAGGCGCACTGCCTATAGACTGCAACAAGAACAAACTATGATATATTCATTTTTCATGTTGTTAAATTTACTAATTTGGTCTCAAATTCCCCAGAATATCACTCCCTGTAGTGCTCCTTAGTCCTCAACTCAGCCGCCTCTAAGCACTGTCGAGTCAATACATCATCCCGCGGAATTAATCTGACCTTGAAATCCCTCGGAATAGCCACTAGAGCTGTCTTGAATTGATTGTACTCGACGTAGTCAGTGTTCGGAGGTTGATCTTCACTGGCCACAATCTTATACGATGAGAGAATGCGCACCAGTGCCGTGTATAGCAGCCTGATTGCGATAACTTGCCCCGAACAAGCACGAGATCCGGCCCCAAAGCTCAGATGCGGTAGTCCTTGGATCTCCTTCTCATAGGGAGGGTCGACGGATCTTAGCCATCGCTCAGGATCGAATCTGCCTGCATCAGGTCCAAAGTGGTCAACGTCTACGGTTGAGTTAGCAGGTTGTTCTGACCGTGGATATCTGGAAATGCTTACCGTGGTTACCTGCTTGCGCATTTATCAAGACCATTGTTTTTGGAGGAATGATAGCTCCGTTCCAGTGCACTTCTGTCGCAGTTTTCCGGGGTAAACTCATAGAGCTGACTGTATAGTACCGCCCTGCCTCTTTGACGATGGCGTTCACATAGGGAACTTTCTCCTCATGGATAGATGCTAGCCAGGCGTCTTCTGTATCTGGGTAGTATCTTTTTATATCCTCATATGCTCTATCTTGCCAGACCTGGCCTTCTGGGGTGGACAACGAACCGATGACTGAAGTTAGTGTCCCCGGGATTGTTTCAAATCCACCAGACACTAGCGAAAGACAGATAGAGGAGACCTCCACACCACTAAGCTTAGTCTCTTCATCCTTGAGAATGGCAGCAGAAATGCATGGCTTATCTGTTCCCTTTTTGATCATATCGCGAACTTTGTTCAAGAGGAGATTGAGGTAAGCGTCTCGACGCTCCCTAAGCTCCTTGGACCGAGCGGTCTTTTCATTATTCGGCGCATAACGTAAAATAGGAATATAGTCCTGCAGATTCTCCGACGCACTTCGCAGCAAGGAAATCGCTGATCCCACATGAAGGATTTCCCGGAGAAGGTCATCATAGACTTCGTCCATGCGAATACCGTAACATAGAGTCAAGGTCGTATTGAGGGCGTATCTTTGAATGTATGGGCGAATATTGAGTTCCACTTGGCCGTTTTTACTGTCGCGAAAGAGATCTCGGACAATGCAATAGCTTTCCAAATCGAACATGGGATGGTAATTCCTCAAAGCTGGCCTGCCCAATGCCGTACCAGCTGCCTTGCGCTTTCTCTTACAGGAATCATCCCAGGGAGATGAGCCGATGGTGAATCCTTGAGTACTGCTGATAACCCCGTGAAATGTATACAGCTTCGGCCGATCGATGATTGCATTTTGATGGCCTAATAACACGGTGCGACAGTCTTCGAAGGAGTTGAAAACGACCGCCCGGGTATTACCGAGCTTGATCTGAAAGACTGAATGACCATACTGTCGCCACCAGCGCTCACAAACACTTGCGTGGTCATCACCCAATTTCCGAAGATGGCCGAATATTGGAACGGCTCCTGGGATTTCGGGCAAGCCTTTGATGTGCGGAATGTCCGTCACCATGGTTGACTGTGAGTGTATAACAGTTAGCAAGGGGAAAAACAAACCAGGAAACCCAACTTGTACCTGGTATAGACAGTAGAGAACAATAACAGCTAGGCCCATGAGGATGTAGCTGCTGGGAAGGGCCCTTATCAGTGCAGCGACGCTCTCCATGTTAACCACTGCATCAACCATCCTTCCTTAGTATTAGATCCCAAGTATTTTCGATCGGTCGATGTTGGGAAGGATTGGAGCTGTGTTGTCAAGCCAGTCATCCTTTATATCTTTCAGTTCAGTTCATCCCTGGCGACACGAAACGTAAGTGGAGGATCGGAACGTCCAGGTTGTCGGACGCCCCGACGAGGAATTCGAGATACGTCAAAGGCGCGGGAGCCGACAACAGGCATCCGTCCAATCGGAGAGGGACAACCAGGTCACCATTTGATGCAAGGCGTGCCACAGATGAACCAAAATACTATTACTACGCATGTGCATTAGATTGGGGTGAAAGGCGGCTCTCGATAGCTACAAGTAGCACATCCAATAAGCACTTACTTAATCGGGTAAGAAGCTGATGGCACCATCGATCCTCCTCCCACACAGCTTGGGGCTGATAAGCACTCAACATCCACTCCTCCAGAAGACCATCACTTTCACCCCTTCATCGTGATATTACTGAGTCTATCATCTCGAACCGTGCAACTAGATGAGCGGTACTAGCTGTGCTGCAAAACGACTGTCATGTATAGTGACGAAGATGGAGCTGCCTCCAAGGAAAGCGAGGCAGCCTATAAAGCCCGCATTCGGCTACTGGTATCGATGACTTCGCTTCTTTCATGGCTGGGACTTGCAGCAGCTGTTACAGACGTTGCGGATTATCGTGTGATATTCCTCCAGTCCTTCCTATCTGCAGCTAAATTGAGTCTACTCCATTGGAGCAAGCTTTTGTGGGCAAGTTTCTTCGCGATAAGATTTGGCAGAGCTGCCAGGGAGACTAACGCTTGAGTAGATTCTCATTACATTGCATAGTTTCCATCTTCACTACACAGAGAATCCCCAAATGATTTACACCATTGGGCTACGAGGATCCCTACTAGCAGCGCTCACAATCTCTTCGCTCTGTCTTTCGGATCCTCCAGCAGGTAGCAGTCTCTTGTTTTCACCATCATCCCTGTCTTTGCAGGTCTACGCAGCGATTGGCCTGACAATCACCCAGCTGCTTTTGCCTCGTCGGCCACATCTCTTTACGCCAGATGGCAGAGCTGTGGACCTCGAAAATAGTTCCTCGGCATTTTATAGGTATACCATGCATTGGTGCACAAGTGCCCTGCATCTAGCTGGCAATCATGTGAAGCTTGATAAACTCCCTGCTCTGAACTATTATACTCGGTCGCAAAGCCAGTCACTTCTTCAGGTAGCAACCTCGAAGACTTCGTTGTGGTACCGCATATTATATGACCGCTTTGCCGGTTTCGCCAAACAATGGATCATAATGCTTATAAGATCTCTCGTTACATTTGTGTCTCCTTATTGTGTCATGCGGCTTCTGAGGAGTCTGGAAGAACAGCTCGAATCAAGGCACGATGCTTGGTTTTGGCTGATAGGGATTGCTATATCGTGCTTATGCCAAACCCTACTTCACCACCATCTACTGTGGATACAGTGGTCTGAAATGGCAATTCCTGTCAGGGCACAACTGATCATGGCAATCTTTGCCAAAGCGCTGAAGATGAAAGATTATAAAGACCCCCAAAGTCCTAAAGTCGAGAAGCCTGAAGCCATTAATCTCATTTCATCCGACAGTGCTTCTCTCAGTAAATTCACAGCTGTCAACCATTATATACCGGCCACGTTATCCAAATTTCTTTTTGCTGCGCTATTTCTGGTACAATTAGTTGAATGGCAGGGTACCCTTGCTGCCTTGGTTGTTACTGCGATAAGCGTACCGGTTCATACATTCGTTATCAAGCAGGAGCGCATGGCACAAAAGCATCTTGCTGCAGCAAGAGATAAGAAGACCAAAGCAATTAACGAACTCATGTATGCACTTCGACAGATCAAGTTCTCTGCTTCAGAAGCGCAGTGGGAGGACCGTTTGGAGACGTTCCGACAGGATGAGCTTAAACAGCTACGCAGGGTCTTTGTTGCAAAGAACGTAAGATCCGTATGGTGCGTTGCGTCCCCATTTATTGTCGCCGCGGCTTCAATCTCTATGTACGCATACACCACAAGCTCAATTTCCCCTTCCATTCTTTTCCCCATGATTGAACTTTTGCCCCATCTTCAGTCAACACTGGGGTTTCTTCCTGTTGTATTCAATGATTATTTCGAAGCCAGGTCCAATGGGAGCCGCATAGAGAATTATTTGAGAAGACCGGAACACAAGACAGTGCTTACTCCTAGCTCATCCGGCCATATTTCATTTCATAATGCGACCATTTCGTGGCCTTCCGATGTGTTGCAACAGCATCGCTTTTCTCTGAGCCATATCAATGTGGATTTTCGCGCTGGTGAGCTCAGCATAATATATGGAAAGACAGGATCAGGAAAAAGTCTGGTGCTTGCTGCAATTATCGGAGAGGTTGACCTCCTGGAGGGTACTATCAAAGCCCCATCGATGGCTGAAGGGCAATCAGTTGCATTCGTATCGCAAACTCCGTGGCTTCAGAACACCACAATAAGAGAAAATATTCTGTTTGGGAATCCAATGGACGACAAGAAGTATGAGGAAGTACTGAAAGCCTGTGCACTATATCCCGACCTTGCTGCCTTGCCGAAGGGCGATGAGACCCAGATTGGCCTCCGGGGTGTCAAGCTCAGTGGAGGCCAACGCGCGAGACTTGCGCTTGCCAGAGCACTATACTCAAGTGCACAGACATTAGTACTCGATGACATATTTGCTTCTCTTGATGCTCATGTCTCCAGGGATATCTGCAAGGCACTCACCGGTGCCCTTTGCAGAGGCCGCACGCGGATCCTCGTAACTCACCAGGTATCTCTGTGCCTGCCAGAAGCAAACTGTATTGTCCATGTAGAAAATAATACTGCAAAATACGCAGAAGGAGCTGAATTTGTTGTGGAAACGCAGAGTGAAGTCGAAACTGAAAACTCCATGACAGCTGACCTTCCCAGACAGGAGAAATCGAAAGAACGTGCAACCACGCTGACAAAAAGCAAAGGTCTTGACGCGCGTACAGACGCAAAGGTATATGATATATACTTCACCGTGGCAGGTGGATTGCGGTTCACTATCATATATCTTTTGGGCCTCGTCATCAAACAGCTACTGGGCTCGTTGACGACGAGGACTTTGGGACGCATTAATTCGGCGCGTCCTGAGTCCATCAGCTTAGAGACAGATGTCCCACCAGTTGCTCCATATTCGAAGGGCGGGTGGGAGCAGTATCTCTACCTTTATCTGCTGGCTTCTACGACGACCGTACTTTTGGAATTTCTATTTAATCTGCATGCCTATTCCGGCTCCTTACGTGCCTCTCATTCACTGTTCCGCGCGGCTACGCTTAGAGTCCTCCGAATGCCTCTACACTGGCTCGATAGCACACCTATTGGAGAGATACTCAGGCGGCTCACTGTTGATGCCAAAAATGTCGATGATTATGTTTTGGTCACCATGTCTGAATTTGCGGACAACTTTGTCCAGATGACGTTGATTGTGTGTGTGGGGTAAGATGCATCTTTACGAGAAACCAAGATTGTTTGCTAATTTATTCAGGTTCAATACGTCTAAGTATATGAGTCTGCTGACATTGACTCTCCTCTACTGGTGTATAAAAGTTAGCAAGCTCTATATAAAAGCACGGACGACCGTCAAACGAGCCGACTCGGAACCTACTGCTGCTATACTTGAACATTTCACATCCTCTGCAGCAGGGGTCATGACGATCCGGGCCTTTGGTGCATCAGACCGGCTAGCTGCACATATGCATGGGCACATTGATAGGTTGTCTACGGCTAGAAGACACTTCTTCATATTTAACCGCTGGCTTAGTCTCCAAATGTCTCTCATCGGCGTTATCTTCAGCGTCGGAACGGGTATTATCCTATTGTCAACTTCTACAGCCGATGCATTTTTAATCGGATACTGCCTCAGCTATTCTGTGCAGTTATCGCAGGCTATGTTTAAGGCCATCAATAATTATGGGATGCTTGAGACCTACATGAACTCAGCCGGAAACATTATAGCTTACACCGAGCTGGAGCCAGAAAAGCAAGGTGGCCGCGAAGCTCCTAACAACTGGCCATCGCTCGGGAATATTGAGGTCAAATCACTTGGCGCTTCCTACGCACCCGGGCTCCCACTTGTTCTGGAAGACGTGTCGTTCAGTGTGAAGGGTCGTGAAAGAGTCGGTATCGTAGGTCGGACTGGAGCCGGGAAATCGTCACTAACACTGGCCTTGTTGCGTCTAATTGAACCCCAGCATGGTTCAATAGTTGTTGACGGCATTGACATAACCACCCTGGCACTCCAAACCCTTCGATCACGAATCGCATTTATTCCTCAAGATCCAGTACTTTTCTCCGGAACAGTGCGATCTAATCTAGATTACAGCCATCAAATTTCAGAAGACAGACTCAATGATGCCTTACAGCGTGTCAAACTGCTCAGGGATGACCCGGAAGATGAAGACTCTGGACTCTTCACACTTGACTCGCGCATAAGTGCTGGAGGAGCCAACATGTCCCAAGGTCAACGACAACTCCTCTGCGTGGCACGAATATTGATCAGTTATCCCAAGATCATCATCCTCGATGAGGCTACTTCAGCGGTAGATGATGAGACAGATCGGTGGATTCAGGATACTATTAGGAGCCAGTTCAGCGGGACATTGATCGTGGTTGCGCATCGACTGAGGACAATCAGCTCGTTTGACAAGGTGATTGCTATGAGTGAAGGGAAGATTGCCGAGATGGGGTCACCGGCTGAGCTATTAAGGAAGGAGGGGTTGTTCTATGATCTCGTTCAGAGTAGTGAGGACCGGGAGTACTTGATGGAGACGATTGGATGATAAACATGGAGCCTCGGGATGGAATTGATGGGAGATTGCTGAGCATCTCGGCATTCAAGCCACACAGATTAACTTTTCCAAAGGCGCTACCTTGAAATGTTCGAGACTAGACCGGGTGGCTAGCGAAGGAAGCCGGCTGTAACCGTCGAGTAAACCAATCCTACTCAGTTGAATTACACACAGCTAACTAGTCGGAGACAAAGACGGGAGACGATAAGTCTTGACCCTCGAAAATCACGAGCTGATAAGTAAGTAGTAAGCACAAGTAGTAATAAAACATCGCAGGGAACGGAGAGGATATCAACTTATCGCGAACCCCGCCTGATATGGCTCTTGGCAAGCCGGGCAGTTAGGTAACAGATATTCGCCGTCGGGGGTGCCGCCAAGGCCGCCAAGCCATGTGGGTGCCCCGCGGGGATGACATTTCGGTCAATCCCGATGCATCTTAAGGGGGAAATGGCACCTGTCCCATGGGTGGCTGCTGAGTCTACCACTAGACAACGAGCGCTGGGTGGTTACTGCGTATCTTTGGCAAGATAAGAACTGGTTTCTGTTATGCTTCGCCAAGCCCGTCCGCTCTCAACCCGGCCAATGGTGGACTTTGTGTATCGTCATGGCGGCATCAGATTGCGACTGATTACTTCCATCTTTGGGCTCTGGTCGAGAAAGGACCCGATGGAGAGGATCTGACCGATGCTACCCTGAACCAGGTGACCTGGATTTTAACCTCGTAACGGTACGGTGGCTGAGGCTAAGTACTTAGTAACCTAAATGGAGTATGGGGTAGAGTTATCATGGATCTAGTATCTAGTAGGGATTAATTGTAGCAGTAGTAACTTTTACTGTAGTAATACTCAAGCCGAGTTTGTTTGCTTTGCCTTCCTTTCACTTGCCCTCTTCCTTTTTTCCTTTTTCTTCTCCTCATTCCTTCCCCTCAGCTGCTGCTCCTCCTCACACCCCCCATCCCGTTGCGCTGTGCAGACGTTCCCCGATCATCACATTTGAACTCGTTAGCTCTATCGCTCCTTGCATTGCAGTGCAGTGAGTGCGTCTCATTTCAAGAAATGGGCATCAGAGAAGATGTCTCCGCCGACATGCCCGCCGAGAAACGACAATACGTGACGGATTATGGCAGCGGCGAGGATACCATTGAGGCTGCGCCTGGCGACCACGATCTGCATCGTGCCTTGAAGGCTCGCCATATCTCCATGATAGCCATTGGGGGTGCAATTGGCACGGGTCTCATCATAGGAACTGGATCTGCTCTCGCAAAGTAAGTCAGACCGTCACTTGCAGTTTTGTTCCACGCTAATCAGTTGTCTAGGGCTGGTGTAAGTACTCCAATAACAACCTGATTGGGAACTTCTGAACTGACTCGCACAGCCCGCATCCATCCTCATATCCTACTCGGTTGTTGGCTTTGTTGTATACCTTGTCATGTGCGGTCTGGGAGAAATGGCTGCCTGGCTCCCATTGTCATCCGGCTTTACAGGTTACGCTGTGCGATTCTGTGACCCTGCTCTTGGCTTCGCGCTTGGTTGGACGTACGAACCTCCCTTTACCCTCGCTTTAGCCTATTCTCTCTAGTGTCACCGCTGACTCAGGCTTCTTGCACAGCTACTGGTTCAAATACATCATTGTCACACCCAACCAACTCACTGCCGGCGCACTCGTAATATCCTACTGGATAGACACGAGCCGAGTCAACGCAGGTGTTTGGATAACCATATTCCTTGTTCTGATTGTCACCATAAACTACTTTGGAGTCCGCTTTTTTGGAGAGTTCGAGTTCTGGCTCTCCTCGTTCAAGGTTATCGTCATCCTGGGTATCATCCTCCTCTCTTTTATCCTCATGCTCGGTGGTGGACCCGATCATGACCGCAAAGGGTTCCGCTACTGGAAAGATCCCGGCGCCTTCAACACTTACATCGACGATGGCCCAGCCGGCCGCTTCTACGCTTTTTGGGCCACCATGGTCTCCGCCACTTTTGCCTACCTCGGCACCGAGCTCGTGGGTGTGACCGTGGGCGAAGCTGAAAATCCCCGCAAGAGCATCCCCAAGGCCATCAAACTCACCTTCTTCCGCATCGTTGTATTCTACATCCTTTCCGTACTACTCGTCGGCACCCTAGTTCCCTACAACTCCAAGGAACTCATCTTCGCCACGAACCAATCCAGCTCCGCCGCGGCCTCCCCCTTCGTCGTGGCCATCCAGCTAGCAGGAATCCCCGTCCTCCCTCACATCCTCAACGCCTGCATCCTCCTCTTCGTCTTCTCCGCGGCCAACTCAGACCTTTACATTGCAACCCGAACCATCTACGGCCTCTCTAAAGAAGGCAAAGCTCCCAAATTCCTCTCCAAAACCGACCGTCGCGGCGTCCCTGTCTACGCCCTCATCCTCTGCGCCTGTATCGCATGTATCGCCTACATGAACGTCTCCAGCGACTCTAAAACCGTCTTCCGCTACTTCGTCGACCTGGTCACCATCTTTGGCCTCCTCACTTGGATCTCCCTCCTCGTAACACACATCTACTTTGTGCGCGCGCGCAAGGCCCAAAACATCCCGGAATCAGACCTGGCGTACCGCGCTCCCCTTGGCACCGCGGGGTCTTACGCCGCCCTGGTCTTCTGTATCATCATCTGTCTCACCAAGAGCTACGACTGTTTCACCCACAACAAGAAATGGGGTAACTTTGATTACAAGACCTTTATTACGGCATATTTGGGAATCCCCTTATACTTGATTCTCATCTTCGGGTATAAGCTCGTCACGAGATGTAAAGGGGTTAGCCCGTACGAGGCAGATTTATTCACGGGCAAGGATGTCGTGGATCGGATGGAAGAGGAGTATTATCGCCGGGAGGCTATTAAGGAGGAGACGGAGGGCAAGGCTGGGTGGTTTTATCGGAAGTTTGTGGCGTGGTTGTTCTAGTTATGTTATTCTATTTTCTTTCTTCTACTCTTCTTCTACACCTCTCTTATTTCTGCTGCTGGGCGTCAGGGATGCGAAAGGTTCATTCTTGCTAGATGAGGGATGATGTTCGTGTGTATGCTAGGCTAGGTTATCTAGAAAATCGCCGGGCGGGAGTTTATTTACATGCATCGGAAAGATACCTAACGAATGAATGTATGACGATAGTAATCATGATACATGGCACCTCGGTAAATGATTAGATACAGTACAGAGGAAATGAAACACCGATTAGTTACTCGGATCGATTACTTGGTAGAACGATTCATTGGAATATTCTGTTTTTAATTATGTATAGATTACACCTAAGCGGTATAGGCTATAGGTATGTGGAGAAAACACCATCTAAGATGTAAGGGAGAATCGATAAACAGAACCTGATGGACACGCCAATCAGTCCCGCAAAGCCATCATTAGTCATTATTGATCGTCACCAGAAGGAAAGTATATGGGTGAGGGAGTCATATAAATAGGTATAATTAGTTTGTTCATCGTCAGCGTCGTCGCCGGAATTCGTATGTGTGTTCGGTGGCCCAGTATGCATCGTTCTTCTCTTCTTCATCATCGTCTGCAAAGTCCTCCTCCTCAACCATTACCCATTCCTCGTCTTCGTCCGCGTCTTCGTCCTCGTCTTCGTCCTCGCCGGTGTGAGGTACTGTGTCATTGGCGTTGTGTAGGTATGCCGGGGAGCGGTAATTAGAGTTTGAATAGCGGGTGTCCAGATCTGACTCCTCCTTTGACAGATCGAAGAGTTCTGATTCCCAATCAACGTCGAATGAGTCGCCCCCGATGAGGAAGGATCCTAGCTTCAGAACGACATTGTAGATCTCCTTGCCGGTGGGAATGATGTGTTCGGAAGGGAGGAGGAACCCGTAGCTCCCACGATCGCGAAGCTTGATCTGGTACGAAAAGGTCGCGTGCACTTGATGGTAGAACCAGTCTAAGGCACTGCCCCCGGAGTTGCCGCCAATGGGGAAGAATCGCCCGGGGTTGGTATCTGCCGCACTGGAAGTGACGATGCCTTCACAGGCGGATGTGACATCGTAGACTTCGTGAGTCGCGTAACGAATAGCCTTGGCTAGGCCTAGGCCTAGTTCTTCCAGGGTCTCAAGCGTGGGGGGTATCGACGAGCAGGAGTAGGAGAAGGGATAGAGAATTGTTTGAGAGTAAGAGTGAAGGTCAAGGAAGCTCACGATGTCAGCATTGTTATTTTGCGTCTCATTGAGCGCCCACTGTGCCAATTGCTGTGCTTCCATGCCCTCGAAAGGCTCGTCTCCAGCATAATTTTCGGAACAAGGGTTCGCGCGGGTCCGACCGCCATCCCATTCGAAGCCCCAGGCGCGGTCAAGGTCGATCCCGGGACAGAAGCGTAGGCTGGTCCGCTGTCGATTCTTGCGCCATAGTCGGTCCGTCTCCCAGGTATAGACATAGCCGTCGGGATTGATCGTGGGGATCATGACCCAGTCAAAGTCCTGTAGAAGGCGGGTGACGGCCTTGGATTTCCCGTACTTCGTAATGAGGGTGTACATGACATGGTTTACGGTTGAGGTGCCGATCCATTCGCGAGCATGGCTACCACCCGTGACGATGATGGTTTTACGAGGGCCTGACGCCGCGGTGGAGCTGCCTGCGCTCAGTCGGAGGGCGGGAATTTCGCGACCCTCGTAAGATACTCCAATGCTAATCATGCGCACATGGGATGGAAACATGGAAGCTAGCAGCCGCATCCAGGGAACAATGACGGACAGAGGCTGATACTCGTGGAAGAACAGGTCACCAAATTTCGGCGCAGGCCGGTTTGAGGGCGCAAATCCAGATTGTCCTTCAAGCCCTATCGGCCTTTTCGATGGATAGGTCGTATAGATTCTTTCTGCCAAATTTTCTATCAGGGGAGTATATGCAGTCTGGAGGGAATTTGGTAGTAAGCCCAATAACGAGGGAATCTATCGCGAGGGTCACAGCGAATCAGTCATCAGTTACCAGGTAGATGCGGACGGAAGGATGATCCACTTACGACTTCTTCGGCCAGCCGGATATCTACGAATGCTGGAGTAGACGCCCATACGTCCAGGAATAGAATGTCTGCGGCCTGGGCCAGTGCTTCGGCCTCATCGTGATCGCGCAGGCTGAAACGAAGTACGACGTCACTACCGTAGCGCGCCAGGATCCGGGAAGGAGGAGAGCGATTGCGCGGGGAATCGTTGAGTGGGAATCGACGAGAAGCGGGTTTTTCAATGCCCCATATGGACTCGATAACCCAGTCACGGAGGCGAGTCCATGGCCTTCGGGGATCAGCAGGCTGGGAAGAGAGAAGGTGAACGGGCTCGACGGGTGGTTGTGGAGTGATAATGGAGCCGGCGGGGACGGCGGAGACCAGGGCGGCCGATGCGATCAGAAGCACGAGCAGTGATAAGAGGTGACGCATATTGGATGTTGAGTACGCCAGGTTTAAATAGTAGTTACCGAGTCATCTCCTTCAGAAAACCTAGAACGACAGACTGAAGTTTGACAGGGAACAGATGGAGAAGGATGGCGTGAGAGGGAAGAGAAGTGGTGCACGAGAGCCGAAGTTAGAGAGAGAGGAGAGACCGAGAGACGGAAGGAATGGTGGATGTGACTTGGTAAGTAGGAGTGGAGACGAGGCTGTGCTATGTGCCTCAGGCATCAATTATGGCTGCACCTAGACAGTCTCCCCACAATACCAGGAATGCTACCAAGTATTTTAACTCTGGAGCCAATACTCTGCTGAAATTGGCCTTATTGCATCTTCAATATTTATATAAGAAGTAGTCAGCCTTGTATAACTGGCTCTGTTCTGAGTCGAAGAGTTGAACCTTATCTGAACAAGGCTGAGACATCGCATAAAAGAGAGTGTGCCATAGTCAGCACAAGCTTGAACAGATGTTGATGGATGCCGAGGTATAAATGTCTGCAGCCACCACGAGCTGGACAAGAGCTAGTCTAGCACTTAAAAGAACCACGATCATAGATTAGGCTAAGTCGGCGAGGGCGAATGCAGCCATAATCGAAGTTTGGAGAAGATCGAATGGATGCCCGCATTGGATGCCCCGGGAACTATTCCTATTCCGACTAGCTTACAGCTGCGGACAGTCAGTGCTTCTAACCATTCTAGGACTAGTGACCATGTCACGCCCTGGTTGGCTCCGCTGACCCGCCATTCCGATTTAGGCAAGGATGTCTGCGCTTCTGCTCTGCCGAACACTTCTCTCTCTGTATGTAGTGTCCCAGAAGGCATCAAACAAGAAGACCCTACGGGTATATTTGGGGAGAAAAAGGTCTCTTTGGTATAAGGGTCATGCAGATGTCTTGGCACTAGCAGAACTCGAAGCCTTACCTGACTCGACAGGACCACACATAGCATGCCTCTGATGAGCCATGAAGGTGCCATCCGGAAGACGAAGGCTAGGGTAGATACAGAGTGACTGGTAGTCGAATTATCGTACACCATAACTATGAAGGCATTTTCATGGATTCGCTATTTGGCTTTTCACGACGGTTAACTTGCCTCGCTAAACCAGAAGTTCTCACAGGTTGGGACTCAGATGGGACGTGGCGAGACACTCCTTGTAAGGCTCATTTGCTCACAATTCTCCAGGCATGCTATGCTGGTTGCGTGGTGAAGGAGGGACTGTACCTATAGAAGCTGGTACACCGCAATCAGTGGATGAAAGTCGAGACTGTGACTGATCTTGATGGTCTAGACCGATCCCCACAGGAGTCCACCCAGCGTCGTCTGTGTGGCCGTACAGCCATATCATCGTACGTGTCAGACCCATTCCCTCCCAGAGAGACGAAGCAAAGGGATTGTACTCATAGTTGGTCCCAAGAGCCAGAACTGCAGCTTCCGAGCTTCTGTCTGGCCCTAAGCACATGGCCTTATATGATAGAGCGGTATCCCTGCTACTCTCCAAGCATTGCTTACAGAGTTTGTTGATGTTGCCACATCAATTTGGCTTGTGCTGAGCAATTATATGTCGTCATGACGCAAACGAAGCCCTCGATCTATCGACGAAGGAGGTATACTGCTTGGAGACGCATTGTGTATCAATATCAGTTTCGGTATCTTGATACCACAAATATCAGCTTACTTAGTTCCCAGACTCCGGATATGAAACGAGCGGAACATGCATATTTATATATATCCCAGGCATCGTCGAGCACGGATTGACTCCCATATGCACTACGGGGGATTCAATGAACAGCATTCGAGAAACATCTCAGTGAGCAGAACACCACTGTGAGCTGAAGCCAGTAAGTTATGAAAAACATGCGGTTCCGTTCCTAATCGGAACCTTGGTTCGAAGGAGTCAGGACACCGATATCCAGACAAACTGCAGAATTTCCTAACTGATCCAATTGAAAAGAACGTAAATGCCTAGAAGAACAAAGACTTGGCCTACCGGCTTCCAGCGGCAGCCAAGATGATGCAAATCAAGTTTGACCGGACAGACAAGAAAGGGCGATGGGGGGCGACAATTGGGCGGCGGATCTGGCGGGCGAAAAGGATAGCCGGAGATGACGCCAGCGGTGGTCATGGCCTTGGGGCCTGACGTGGCCAGACCCCGGTCACGTGGCTGCATGGCTGGGGATGCGAGTGCAACTTGCAGCTCCATCGCCGCCGCCTTGCAGCTTTCTTCCTTATTTCCCGGTCTATAGTTTCATTTGTGGTTTCCACACAACAACAGAGACTTACATACATACAGGGTCTGGCTGTCAGGGTTGTGTCAAGGGCGAGTCGAGGGTCCTGCGATCAGCATAAGGCGGGAGGGAATTGCGGAAGGGGAACCAGCCAGCTCTTTGCGGCCAGGAATTAATTTCCCCCCCATACTGCCACTTTGGCTACTAGTGAAGGAACTAGTCTGGCTACTCCGGATGAGGGTATCTAGGGGCTGTTTGGAAGTTAAAGATAGAAACGAATCCACTGGGAAACGATCCGAGGTTCTGCAGACCAGACCCAATCGTGGACATATTTAGAGCAATGAAAGACATTGGGTGCTATTTACAATTGTTCTTAAGAATAGTGTGTGTGTGTAGTGTGTTGATGAAGGTGGTACATGATTCATGTAAGGATAACCCTTGGTTGAAGAAAACAAGCCAGATACGTACATGGATACATGGATGGCATAAAAAATGTAATAGAGCTTATAATTAAATTAATTGACATGCCAGTCAAAATCGCGACAAGAAAGGAAAAAAAAAAAAAGAAAAAGAACCATCACAGTAAAGGGAGGCTGACGGGCTGAAAAGGAAACACTAAAATACTAAAATACTGAAAAAAAAAAGACATCCACAGTAAACAAGAGCGAGCGCACGTGTGGTTGGTCAGAAATGGAGAAGAGAAAGTCCAACAGAAACCAACTCCACTATTTCTGGAATCTCTCCGTCGTCAGCAGCAGTGGAAAGTGAACCCCAGCAGCATCATCGCTGTTCCGTCTTGTCTCGGCTCTCTCTCTCTCTCTTGCCTGGCCGTGATTCTTAGTTAGCCCTCCTGCCAACCACCATCCCCCGGGTTTCCCACTCATTCCATTCCTTCAGTCTTGCAACTTCTTCTTTTCCTAATTCTAAGCATTTATTTTTCTCTTCATTTATTATCGCCCTATCATCACTACTACTACTTTACTTCCAAAGTTCTTTAATCTGCCCCTCCTTGGCTCTCTTCGGGACTGCGTTTTAACAGCACTAAGTAGTACTGTCCACTGCTGCTAACTAAACTACTAGTTAGTAGTTTGTGGTTGTGGTTTACTTGGTCCCCTCACCTGCCCTGCCCTGCCTTGCGTCTCTCCACGCCCGCCCGGAATTCTCAACGCGGCCTCCCTCTCTCCTCCATAACCCTTTCCATCGACCTCGCACCTGGCGATGTGACCGTCTTCAATTGGCGACCATTACGATATTTCCGGATCACTGCTTTTTCGCGTTGGTGATTGACGACCTCCACCTCCTTTCCACCACCCCCCCTTTTTTCCAAACGACCTGCGCTCCTCCGCCCAGCGATCTTGCCCCCACCTCCTTGCGCTGCCAACTTTTCCCTGCCTCACTCTCTCTCCCCTTCCGCTGGTTCGCGATGCAAATTGGTCTGCCCGACCGGTGACATACTCGCTCAAATCCCCCCAAGAGCTTGCCGTCGCCATAGCTCCGATCGCAAATCCGACTGAAGCCGTGTTGTTATACCTACCGCTGTGGGACGATCGCCAAGTATCAATCGAGCAGTATCGGATGGGTCTCTCAAGCACGCTGCGCTGCAGGATTACATAAAACACTATTCCTGGAAATCGTCGTCACTATGCATTGGAAGGCACTGCGCCTCGGCTCCTCCGACAACGAAGCCAAACGACGGAGCTATCTGTACGATCCACCGCAATCCCGTCACAGCGAACAGCTGCCTCGTCCGACGCTCTCGACGACCGCCCTTGCCCCCAGACATTCCGAATCTGCTCCACGGTCACCATCGCTGGCTGGTCCAGATGACGCCGAGCACAACGACGACTATAGGGCTGATGGTCCTAGCCTCACACAAAGTCGCAGTCGCACTGAAGAACCCACCGTGAAGCCCAGAAACACTGGGAACTCACTGTTGCCGGGCAGCGGCCCGAATTGGCGCATGAACCGTTTCAGTTTCATGAGGCTTCGTCATGCGTCGGACCCGCAATTGTCCAAGTCGTACGCTAAAGCAGAGCAGGAGATCCCTCCTGTGCCATCCTTGCCTCCGCGTAAGTCACCCATCATCTCAGAGTCTACGACTTTCGCACCTCTTGTTTCCCGCCCGACAATTTGGCTTTGTTGACTGACCTTTCAATGCCTCTGCGCTTTATAGCTACAATCATCACGACCGCGCCGACAAGCCATGAACTCGAGGAGCCGATAAAGCGAAAGAACAAATTCAAACTGTTCCCCGATTCGAAGACCCCGACGGTGGAAGAAATCCCCCCACAACAGTCCACAATCAATGGAAAGTCCAGGCATACTGCCCAGGGCTCGACGGGGTCGCAGGCGGCGAATACAGGCCAACCAGAGTCTCGAGTTAGCGGCGAGGAACCGGGTCGTCTATCGACCACATCCATACGGAGCAGTGGTCGTGATCAACCTGGTGACTCCCATCGCTCTTCTGTGACAGATGCACGGTTTTCCGAGTCATCCCGTTCTGACCAAGATCGTGGGGATCATGGCTCTTCGGCCTCGCGTGGAATCCCAACGAGCGAGGGTTCAATTTCCAGCACAAAACGATTCCGTATGCCTCGCTTGAAGAGGAACAAGGGACCCCTCTTTCCCTTGCCCCCCAAGCCAACAGCTTCGCAGTCGCTCAATGGACGTGCGCCCAAGTCGATACCGGACTCTTCGATTCCCACGTCGGATGTTTCAGATGATCATGACCGGGATCACGTCTCTCCACTGCCGTCGCCGTCGCGCTCCTCAGCTGGTGTCTCCTCTCCTCGGCCCCCTCTGTTGAGAAAGGACTCGGCAAATTCCGCTCATTCGAGCCATTCAACGCCATCCATTCGGACACGTAAGCCGCCTACCACGCGGGCTCGCTCATCTACGTTGGATTCTTTGGCCAATATCCGGGACAATGAGCCGCAACAGTCGCCCCACCTCACTTCGTCTGGACGAACGTCTACTTCAACGAGTGGACGGAAAAGTTTTGGCGATATCTTCAACATCCCACAGCGGCTGCGGCAGAACTCGGAGCCCCCGTTCCCCAGGAGTGGGTCTCCTGCGGCCAGGGGCGCGGAGACTCCGGTCACCAAGTCGCCTTCTTATCCAGAAAGGCAGGAAGGCGATACCCCGACTACGTATTTGGAGCGGCTTGAGGCAACCGTACCCAAGAGTGTAATTGCCAGTGTACTCTCTCAATCGAACGATGAGTTCTATAAGAACGCTCTGCGCAAGTACATGAGAGGATTCTCCTTCTTTGGTGATCCGATCGATATGGCCATTCGGAAGCTATTGATGGAAGTGGAACTACCAAAGGAGACCCAGCAAATCGACCGTTTCCTCCAGAGCTTCGCTGACCGATACCATGAGTGTAATCCGGGTATCTTTGCGAGTACTGGTATGTCACCTTAGCACCTACATTTTGGAATACTCTAACTCCTGTCCTTTGCAGACCAGGCATATTTCATTGCGTTTTCGATCCTGATCTTACACACGGACGTCTTCAACAAAAATAATAAACGGAAGATGCAGAAACCAGACTATGTCAAAAATACCCGTGGAGAAGGCATTTCAGAAGATATCTTGGAGTGCTTCTATGAGAACATCTCCTACACACCCTTCATCCGCATCGAGGACACGAATCCCAACGGCCGCCACCTTCCAAAGCCTCGCCGAACGTTGTTCAAGACCGCCAGCTCCGACCACCTTGGTCGTTCTACCAGAGAGCCCGTTGATCCATACACCTTGATCATGGATGGGAAACTCGACTCTCTTCGACCAAGTCTCAAGGATGTGATGAACCTGGACGATCCGTATCGCTGTAATGGAACGGATGGACCGCCAGATATTGAGAATCTCCATCGTGCCTTTTCCAAAGCCGCTGTGCTGCAGATTGTCTCCCTGCGTTCACGGCCTGATGCATTTATGCCTTCGAGTATGGAAAACCCGATAGATTCCAACCCAGGCCTGGTGGATATCAAAGTAGCCAAGGTCGGATTGCTTTGGCGCAAAGATCCGAAGAAAAAGAAGGCTCGATCTCCATGGCAAGAATGGGGTGCCCTCTTAACGTTCTCGAAGCTCTACTTTTTCAGGGACGTCAACTGGGTGAAGTCATTGATGCACCAAGAGGAGTCCCATCACAAAGAAGGTCGCCGTCGAGCTGTTGTATTCAAACCGCCTTTGACCGACTTCAAACCTGATGGGATCATGCAAACTGATGATGCAGTGTCTTTGATCGATAGTGGTTATAAGAAGCACAAGCATGCATTCGTCTTTGTTCGGCACAACGCTTTGGAGGAAGTATTCTTAGCCAATAGC